TCGCAACCCCTCCTGGCGGCGACGCCCCGCGCGATGAGCTCATTCCGAATTCTTCTCCTCCGACGTCGCCGAACGCGGAAACTCCAGCGCGAGGGCGCCGCGCTCCTGGCCCACTCTCTCGCCGACCGGGGACTGTCCCCGACGCGATGCGCTCGCGGCCGCTGCTGCACTCGTGAAACGCCACCCTCAACCGACCCGGTCACGCGCGCCCCCCCCGCCTCGGCCGACGCCGCCACGCGCGAGCACAGCAGCGCGTGGACCGACGAGGCGGCAGAAGCCCCCCGCGCACGTTTATCAGGCGGCGGCGAACTCCCCCAGACAGCACCGTCATCGCGCATCTCCCGCTGCGCCCCGCAGCCACACTGCGTTCGGGAGCACGCGTTGCGATGGGCCGTGTGGAACCCTTCCCCGCGGTGGAAAACGCGGCTGACCAGCGTGGACTGTTGCCCGCTGGGTAGAAGAGCCTCACCAGGCACCGCCGCGCGCGGGTTCGCCCTCACCCTGCTGGACTCAGATTCGCACGCCTGCGCAGCCAGTTGGACCCACAAGCGTTGCGGCGTCTTCGGCAGCTGCCACTCCTTCTTCGCCTCTCGACAGCCGCAGCCTTTGGGGCCCGACCACCTGCAATCTGCTTCCATCACCTCCCCGCCGCAGCTCCTGCCGACTACCTCTTGAACTGTTCTCACCGCCTCGCCGTCGCCGCCTGAAATCAAGCGCATCACGTTCGCGCCCCCCTCCACCACTTTGGCGCCGCCGCATCCATCCCTGGCGCGCACGCGCCGTTCCTCCTTCTCCATCTGGAACAGCTCACTCACGACAGGCGCTCGCTGATCGCGCAGAACCCCCCGCGAAACTCCCCTGCGTCTTGCTGGGCCTCACCATTATACGCGCGCGGCTATGCCTTTAATGTGATCGGCCCCGGCTCACCGCCACGCCCCATCTCCCGCAACGTCTCTACCAACAGAGAGAGCATCAAGCTGAGGCGCCCTCCTGGACCGCGGCCCTGTGCTGCCGCGATCGGACAGGCGCCGCCCACCCCAATCTGCACGGCTGCCCCGCCGCGCCGCGCGCGGCGCCAGCCGCGCGTCTGGCAGGGGGAAGAGCGCCTGCACAAACGCATTCATAAAGCAATACCACTTGGGATTCTGCAGGCCTGAGAGCGCGGGCATCGCCGCGTCCGCGCCGTTGCCCCGAGCGTCTGCCGCTCGCGAAGCACCCAGGACGCTCGCTGCTTCGTGCTGGGATCGCGCTCGAACTGCGACGTCTGCAGATCCCCCTGTCGCTTCCTGCGCCCGTGCGGGCGCGCCCGAGCTGGCGCCCGCCACGGCGCCGCGCCGCCGCCCCCGCGACTGGCGCCAGCCGCGAAACGTCGCCACAGGGCCCGCGCCGGACCTACCTCCAACCCGCTCAACACGACGCGGGCCCGCGGACAACCGCGCGGCTGACCCGATGCAGCGACCACCTGGATCAACAAGCCACCACCTCACATGTTCTCCTCCGTGAGATCCGCGACATCTCCTGCTTCGTGCACCCGCGCGAAGGCCTTCCGCTGGCACGGCCACCGCTGAAATGCGCCCAAGTTTTGCCGCGGCACCGGACCCGCTCCGCCCTCGCCGGACCGCGCGCGATCGGGGCACTGGCGCGCAGAGAATCGCGAGGCTTCTCGGCGCCAGCGACCTTGCTGCACGCACGCCACGGCATCTTGCAAGCACTCGTTTTTCCCAGGGCCCCACGGTCGCTTCGTCTGTCGCCAGGGTCGTCGCAAAGATCGTCGGCGCGCAGGACGCACGCCCCATCCACGCGACAACGACCAGTAGCATTCCATGACCATCTGTCTCGAAATGCGCGCCTCCACTCCGCGCGCACCTCGCGACGCCCTCGCCCCCCTCGTCGTTGCCACGCCGCCGGCGCAACTTCTGGTTCACGCCAATCCCCAGCGAACGACGCGCAAGATCTGCGCGACCCCTCCCCGCGTGGCGCGCTTCGCGGCCCCAGACCCGCGCCGCGAGGCGCCGCGGCCCGCGCGGATTCGAAGCACACCCGAGGCCAATGAAAAATGCGGTACGCAACGCGTCAAAGAACGACGCGGCGACGACGTCGCCCGTGTGCCTTTCGACGGCACCGGCCCCCGCTCGGAGCTCGAATCGCAGCCGCGCGCTGGTTTCGTGCTCGAGCAACGCGCGTTCATGCCGCTGGGCTCCCCTCCTCCCCCTCCTCATCCTCCTCCTCCTCCTCCTCCTCCTCCTCCTCCTCCTCCTCCCCCTCCTCCCCCTCCTCCTCCTCCTTACTCCTCCTCCCCCGCCTAATCCTTGTCCTCTTCTCCCTCCGACCACTACGCGGCCCGCAGCCACATCGGTTCCGCGATCGTCCGCGCCCCCGACGCATCCCCCGAGCCCGCCACGTGCGCCTCCGAGAACAGAACCGCTGCAATCGCGACCCGACATGCGCCCGACGCTGCGTTGCCCGCGTCTCGCAGGCGACGCGCGCCCCCCGCCTCAGAGCCTCGCGGCACCCCGGCCTCTGACGCAGCCGATCGAGCCACCCTCAGGGCCGCTTCGCGCCCCTCGCGGCACGCGCTCGCTGAGGCATCCCGACAGAAAGCTTCCGATCAGTTTCCCCCTCCATCGGCCCGTCGACTCCGCGGCGAGATCCCCGTCCTGCTGACGCAGCCGAACGGCGGTGACCTTGCGCTGGACACTCGAACGGAAGACCCTGCAGGTGCCTCCGCGGGCGACCGCTTCCCCCCTCCATCGTCTGGGCGAGGCGCTCCGCGGGGCCAGCGCCCCACGTTTCCCGCTCGATCGCCCCGGGGGCCCTCGCATCAATTCGGTCAACCATCCCTGTCAAAAACACGATACAGAATGCACATTGCCTCCACATCTGGAGCGTGCGCTAGCGCCCCGCGACCACTTCGCAATTGTTGTGACAAGGACGGCGGGGGTGCCGTCATACTGCTCGCTGCGCGCACGCCAGCTGTCAAAAAACACATAATGCACTTCGCCTCCAACTCTGGAACGTGCGCGGGCCCCCCGCGACCACTTGCATGGTTTTTGCTAGGGACGGCGGGGGTGCAGGCAATATAGCTTAAACGTGCAACACGTGCTGCACCTGGCGCGCCTGGCTCGCTTGCGCCTCCAGAATGCCTGGTGCACCTGGAACCCGTGGCGCACATGGCACGCGTGGCGCTCCTAAGCAATATGCTGAGACTCCCTCGAGTGTTGGGAGTGAGCGAGACGGCTTGCGGGCGTAGGGGGGGCATCGATCACTGTTCCCTATTAGTATATACCCCCTCCCCCAGGCGACCGGCAGCCAATCAGGAACGACGAGGACCCCATGAGGACCCCCCAAACCATCATTATCAACCAGAACAAAGCGAAACATACTCTGCCTCCAAATTCGGAGCATGCGCAACCATCCCGATGCGGCCCCCTCACACCATCTTTACCAACAAACAATACAAAATACACAGTGGGGAAAAGTCTGGAGTCGTGTTCGTGAAGCCCGCGAGCACTTTGCATTGTTCTTGGCAGGGACGGCAGGGGTGTCAGCATATTGTCTGCTGTGCGTAGGGCTACCCTTACAACAAACAATACAAGATGCACCTTGCGGCTAAATCTGGATCATGCGCGGCCACCCAGCGATCACGGCCAAGTGGTTTTTGACAGGGACAGCGGGGTTGTGACGTATGGCCTGCTGTGCGCAGGCCCACCAGACACAATGATGGGCTTTGGCTTTCGACAAGGATGGTGGAGCCGACATGTTGCCCGATGTGTGCTGTCATGTGCGCAGGCGCACCTGACCCACTCTGCACGTGCCCCGAACGTCGCGAACCTGGCGCGGCTGGAGTATGCGGCGCACCTGGCGCATGAGGAGGCATGTGGCGTATCTGGCGCACCAGGCGTGCCTGGCACGCTCGGCCCAAGGGGTGCCTGGCGCGCGTGGCGCGCCTGGCACGCGTGGCGCATCCTCCTCATCATCCCAACCTCATCATCATCCTCATCATCATACTCGTCATCATCACCATCATCATCATAATCACAATCAGCATCGTCATCATCAGCATCAGTATCAGCCATATCAGCATCATCAGCAGCATAACTATCATGGTCATCATCATAATCATCATCCTCATCAGCATCATCCTCATCTGCATCATCCTCACCATCATCATCATCATCATCATCATCATCAGCATCATCATCATCATCAACATCATCAGCCTCATCATCATAATCATCATCATCATCATCATCATCATCATCATCATCATCATCATCACCATCCTCATCATCATCCCCTATCACTGTCCTCGTCCTGAAAAATATCATCACCACCACCGTGAACATCAG